TATATATATATATCAACGGCAAGCAAAATGAATATAAATTAGAAACTTTTTCATTTTTTCATTCTGGTGAGTACATTAATTTGCCAAAAATAAAATTTAATTATTATTCAAAATCATCATCAACAGGCTGCGAGAGTGCGAAACAATGTATAAAGAAGTCTTGCCAATATGAATTACAATATATTCAATAATAAAATTATAATACTGTTAAACTTTGAACTTTTGCCCATATTTATAAATTAGTTTTAATCATATTTTTCTCATTACTCATAACCAGTCACTCGCTTTTAAAATTCTGTGTCTGCGTCTAGCTCAGTACTTTTATTAATACGTTTCGCTCTGGAAACACATTCTTTTTCCGGGGCAATGTCTGCTTAGTAAAACTGACTGTGCCGCTTATTTTTAATATAAAAAAAACCAAAGCCTAGATTTCAATACTATATAAGAAAAGTAGTATTTATTATTAGGAAACACACCACATTACTCTACAGAAAGCATTATCTTTGAGAATTTATGGTTCCAAATGAATTAGGAAGACATACTGCGTGTTAAGCAAGGTTAAATTCTTCCCGCATGATCCAATTTCAAAATTTTAAAATTGATGTTGTGATTGCTCATTTGCGACCGCTCTCGATTTACTAAAAACCAAGTAATTTTAAAATTGGATCATACTATATGAATTAATAAAACCATACATATTAATTATTATGAATGTATCAAACAAAATTAGCATGCAGTGGTACAGAGTACTTATTATCTGAAATGTTTTATTAGTATGAAACAGGAAATTAGTATAGCAAGCATGATAAATGCAACAATAATAATAATGAAACATACAACAAATAAATATAATTTTCATGCAGGAATGAATGTATTCAATAATACTTGATAATTGGTTTTAATCAGATATCTTCATTGTGAAACACACTACACCAGTGACAACCCACAAAAGTAGTGGTAAATTGGCAAGTAGTGGTAAATTGGGAAACAATTCATTACGCATTTGTTTAACAATTCATATGGGCCAAATTACACATAGGACACACTGCTTAAATGTCTCATCCAAAAGACGATGGGCTTACTATATGAAACATGCATTTCAGCCTTCCAGGAGAAACAAAAGGAAAGCAGTGATTAGAATTTTTACCAGGGACCAAAGGTTATGTAAAAATCCCCATGGTTCAACACACACATAGAGCCTCTCTTCAGTTCACCCAACTGAGCCAGTTTTGGACCGAAATTATATAGAAAATTACCACTATAATATTTTCTAGCAAAAAATAATAGGCGTTATTCACTGACAAGGGCTCGACAAAATATACACACACCTGTAGATGCTCAATACAGCAATCTCAAACTATTAAAATGTGTTTGAAGTTCTGATATAAAAATATTTGCAGCTACCATAATTTAGTAGACAGTTAATAGTCAAATGAAGCATGCTCATTAATAGAATTTTTATTAATAGACATTCTTGTCATTTTAATGAAATAACGCTAAAAGAGATAGAGTCTACTATAAAAAATGATGCAATCTACAAAAAAAATTTTACTCATTACTGTAGTATTGTAGGTAAGGTATAGGCAGTATAGCAAAATGTACTACTGTGCAGGCAGCAACCTATGAAGAGCTACAGTAGAGATACTACAAAATCTTTCTGCTACAGGACTAAACCCAGAACCTTGAGACTTGACAATGAAATAATAAATTGCTAAGTCGTTGTCATGTCCACACTAATCATCAGTTAACACGTTGGCTGCCAGCGACAAGTATACTTACTGTACCCACAGGATGTTGCTGAGGGCGCCAGGGATGAGCATACTCGTCAAAATCGCGATAACATTCTAGCGTTTATAATTTCCTCAGACTCAACGGCTTGTAGTTCATTGAAGATACACCAAGACGATAACGTAAATGATGTATGTATGCTTGTTGTGTTATGTTGCCAGTAGTACACTCGAGCGGCACAAGTGGGGGCGCCCTTTGAACATACACCAACCCAAGCAAAAAGCAGACAAGATTAAACACGCACTTGGCATAGTCAATAAAAAATGCTATCACAGTGCTGTCGAAGAGTTTACTCATACACTAATATTTTCCCGCCAAGTTTATAGACACATCATTTTGATGATATGACTAGATAAAATTTCAAAGATGTATATATTTGTTTTGGCATATGGGTAGTAACCTTAAAATAAGGTCTGACAGTTAACGTGTTAAAACAAAATATAATCTACTTCAAAGAAAATATGTTAGTGTGCACACAGGCCTAAGGTCCTTCCTTTTTGTGCATAATTTTTTTTATAGTAGTAACTGTATACTGTATATTATAGTCAACATTTGGTTAGTTTAAATAATATTATTGCTTTATACATATTTTGCTCTATAATATTTATAAAAAATTAAAACAAGACATACTATTGGTTGGTTCATCAGTGGTAAAATTGAAAGTTGTAACATCTGGAAGTAACATAACATACAGTAATACAGTTGGAAGCAAAATGCATTTTTTCTATATCCATAAAAACTTCTGAATGAAACTAGGTACTCTATTTGTCACCCATTTTGTCACCTATACATTTGTTGTACCCATGCTCTGTTTGTGACTCAAGCTCTACATTAAAAATTTATTCTAATAGGTGAGAATTTTTTATACCTTGCTTCGCGAACTTATTTCTTTAATGATACGGTAGTCAGAAGAGGGCGTGAAAAAAAAAATCAAATTTCTGTTTTCTTATCTTTAGCAAATGGTTTTGCCTATAATAACTAGATGGAGGAGAAAATAAGAAATAAAGTTTTATTGATAAATGTAAAACAGTGTTGTAATTGGATGGTTAAATGCTTTATAATTAATATAATTAGGAATAAAGATAAATCTATTTTTTGAGATTTCAAGTAAGTAGCGTGTGTAATAAAAATGAAGAAAACTTTCTTTTTTTAAATGCACTAATTGGCCAAAAAATATTAAAATTATTTTTATTTGAAATCGTCATTATTGGCGGGCAGCACGTTCAGTATAACAAAGTATAAAAAATGTCTTGCTTAACTAAAATACATCTAAGACCCACTACTCTAAATTTAACCAAGTGGGAATATTATTGGAATATCTGTGCCAAATGCGAAGTGGAACAAGTAATCTCATTTGCTGATAATATTTATTATGATAATATTGATGATGATGATGCACGGGCTACTGATGAAATAATGATGGTGGGGAATGATTACAACATTTCAATGCTAAGTAAAATCCGAGTATGTTTAGTGTGCGTGGGTGTTTTGAGAATAATAAATATAGATCAACAATCTATTTACAGTACTTCTACAAAACCAAATATTTATGTGAATTGCGGCCAGAAAAAGTTAGTTGAGTGTCAACAAATGCATGCATGACAATAGTGTCACAACAGTCTGTATAGACTCAAAATAGGGAATATAGTGTATACCCATGTTTTCACTCAGAAGTCCATAGTACTTTAGCAGGAGCATGCATGTTGATTAGCTTGGGTTAATTTGAATATTTCTTTTATAATATAATAATATGCTATCTAGGCTACTATATAAAAAAAAGTAAAGACATACTAGTTGTCACAACGTCTGTAGTGATTATGATGGTGAAATCTGAAATTGAACACAAAATTAAACTTAATGAGCTTAGAATGTTACAGTCGAACCTCACATTCAATCAAAGCATACACCTTGTGGCAAAAGGGGAGGAGTTATAATTTTAGAAAAACAGCCTTTATACAAGATTACAAGGTCATTCAAAGGTTACATTATCTGAAATAACATTTCATATTTAAATAAAAAAAATAACTATCAAACGCAAAAATAATGTAGTTCCTTTAATTTACACACATAGTTTAGTTTGATGGTAATTATAAATATTTACAGTAGGTTTCAAACAAAACTTTAAGTTTCTGATTAGTCTCATTAAATTTCTCCAAGAGATTTCCACATATTTTTGATGTTGATGGCAGCAATTTCTCAAAGTTTAGTCAGGGAACAGTTACAGTAAATTACTATTATTTATTATTAGTAATTTAACAGTTCCCTGGTTTAGTTTAGTAAGTAATATTACTTCAATCAGAATCAAAGACAAACTATAATGTAAGGTCAAAATTCAAAATTTAGACAACTGTGTGGTGAGCTAACCAAGAACAATAACATTTAATATTTTACTGGAAATTCTTTTACTAATCCTACAGTAAAAACTTATTTGTTTCTTCTGTGTCATCAGAAGTTGAAAACTTTATATTTGACTCTTGATGAGTACTGTACGTTTCACAAACTTTTGGCCAAATTTCGGGCCGCGAATTTGGCTGTGAAAAAAGAATTGTCAAAATCAAACATTTTTTTTTTTTTTTTTAAACTGCTTGCTTAAGAGTAAATACAAATTATATGACATTTTGTCAATAGAATATACAGTCAATGCCAAATTATTGAAGAACCAGGTAATTTTCATGTTTTAGTTGGTCCCTGGAATTTTAAGGAAGCCATGAAATAAAAATTTGCAGAGCTACTGTAAACAATACAGTATTTTAATTTCAGGGGTTTTTCCAATTTCAGGGGTTTTTCCAATTTCTTCAATAGTGAGAGAAATCTTAGAATTGGAATTAAAATGATGCATCGAAGCCGCAACTTCCAACATTACTTGCCGGTACAAATATGCTAACCTGACAAGAGTTTACAATATGAACATAGTTTATACAGAAGCCTTGAAAGGGGCATTTTCATTTTCAATTATTAATATAAATTTTAACTAATTCTCTTGATAGATATATATAGTTGAATAAAAACATTTTTCACTATTTTGATGAATATTAGAAATTCTGGGAATAGTTTAACCAATTATAAGTTAGTTTATTTTAGCGTGTAAGTGTAGTGTAAGATAATAGTGTCCTGGGTACGACGTTACAGACTGCATCCGGTCGAGTCGTCGGTGACTAATTCTGGCAACCCCATCTGGTGGTCTTTAGCGGCCGCCGATAAGAGGGTAGATGGACACCCAGCAACATGAAAAAAAAACCAGTTGAACAAAGGGCGGATGAGCTTATAGGAGCCAATGGCCAACCATGCCTTAGTTTAAGGAGTAGGTTTTTTAGTTTCATAACATCAACTTTTTTCAAAACGTCAAACTTAAAGAGCGCAATCACTAAGCGCATAGAGGCTTTTTCGCATGATGCGCTATATAAATCCAACTATTATTATAATTTTTTTTTTAGTTATTTCATATTGAATATTTAAAATGTACAGTACATTTGGCATCAGGGAGGGGACATTTAAAAATGCTAAATAATTCTTGAACAGTTAAATAATCTGATAACAAAATTTACCTTGTACAGTATTCCCTTTGTTACAAAATCATGTGTATTGGTTGAAATTTTTTATTAATTGCATACATACACATCAAAATTCATAATTGTCCCATCTGTGACATTTGAGGAGGTTCCTTCCTTAGAAAAGTAATGCTATAAAAAAAACCTAATATTCAATTTTCTCCTACTAGATACTATAACTTAATATTTTATCAACACATTTTTAGATAATTTTTTGTTTAACCTCATTAAAATAAAATTATCCAGTAAATAAATTGTCACAGACGGGACAGTTTTGATATGGACGTGACACTTTTTATGACAATTAAATAATTATTTATTTTGTACTTAAAAGATTGTTTTTCATTGGATTGAAAACAAAATGTTGCATTGATGACAGATTAATATTTTTTATCCCTTTTTATATTGAAAAGTACGGTATTTCTCTCATTGGACAAAAGTGTCCCGTCCGCGACATCAGGAATGTCAAGGCCATGATGGAACATAATTCATTAAATTTTTCATAAAATTACAGTTTAGCTATGTAAAACAATCATTTAATATCTTTTTATGGTGAGGAGAAATATTAGAATATACCTTTCTAAAAGTCATGTCCAAATTTTGTCCCATCCATACATTTTATTTCATCAAATCAAAAAAAAAAAAATTTTTCCCCCAATAACTAACCTTAGGCATATATGTGAAGCGCTTAGGGGCTTTGTTAAGACATTAAGCGCTATATAAGAACGACATATTATTATTATTATTATTACATGTAAACATTGAACACACTTTTAATCTTATATTCTATATAGATAATAAGATATAAGTGGTTACATTCTCAAAAACGTAAAATCCGTGACAAAAAAGTACTGTAAAATGCCCCGAAAAACAGATTATACTGTATACTTTTTAAATATCAGATAGCAGTCTCGTATGGAAGCAGAAACCCCTCATAAACCCAATTCCCAATGTTACCCACTCAATGTATGTATTTTTTACAAAAAAAAAAAAAAAAAAAATTTTTTTTTTGGGGGGGGGGGGGGGGAAAAAAAACACTTGTTAAAGCATGTACAAATAAGCTACACTTTCATCAATTTGGCCATTCATAGGGGATGCAACTTTCAATGACACAATAGAAGCAAAAATGTTAAGCAAAAAAAATATCTTCACGATAAAAAAACATTTATAATGATGACACAAAGTGAGGCTGCACTAATCTTATGCACATGCAAAGGAAAATTACATTTTGTATTAAATTGAGACAATAAACTTGAATAATAATTTTTTCCCCTAGTTTTTAAATACAGTATTCAAAAATCTGTATCATTCCAGAGTTTCTTGACAAACACTCTTTTTGTGCCTTAAAAATCATAGCAAAATGCTTTTTTCCTCCAGAACCTGACTTCAGGCAATGATAGATTTCTTTTTTTTGCCAATTTCTTAGCAGATTAAAATAACACTTAAATTGGCCAATAATCACAGAGTTTAAAATAAAAACGTAAATCAATGCAAACAACTTTGTTGTTTTTACGACATTTCAACTGCAAGTTCAAGGTTTTTAAGACAATACTGGATGAGTATATTTTTAAAGAAAACAAAGTACAACATAATTTGCAATGAAAATTCAGGACTAGAAAATGTTTCACATTGCAAGAACCCTTCCAAATATAGACAAGTCCAAGAAGAATGGCGCCCTCTGTTGTCTACACCATTAATGGGGAGTCCGGGAGTCGTCACTACCCTAGGCCTACTCCTAAAATCTGGCTTTTTATTTTGCAGCTGAATAATGCTGTCAGTCTTCAAACTAAAAATTTATCAAAGTTATATTTTGGGTATTTAAACATCTTCCAAATTCGGAAATGCCACCACAGTAATGGCATCGACAAAAGAGTGCGGTGTTCAAAAATTTTCTCTTGGATTCGTCTATACTTCATGCATAACTTTAAGCTATGTCGAGACTATCAACGTTTCTTTGACAAAAAAACTGTTGTATGCCCATATATAGTTATGATGTGCCTATATATGGTGATGATGTGATGTCATCAAGGCCATATTTGGGCATGTCACATGTTTTTGTCAGACAAAATGTTATAGTCTGGACAGGACTTTAGCAACAAAGAACAATTTAAAATAAACGTACTTGTTGGCTCAACTGTAGTACTAGTAGCATCTGAAAATTTAAAAAAAATAATATAATAATTAAACTCTAAAGTATACACAGTCTTTCATTTAAAGCGTACAGTATGATAAAGCCCATATTCAAAGCAAGTAAATTTCACATGTGCTCCAAATAATGACATCCAAACGATATACATTCTCAGCTCTTTGTATTATATGCACTGTAGTACAGTTATCTGTGCATTTATACTGTCCAGTATTTAACTCTATGAGGTATCCAGCACCAGTGCCAAATGGGCAATTAAAACAGCCCCTGTTGGCTAAGTTTTTTATTTCTTATTTAAATTTACTGATCATGATAATTATTATTTCAGGGGCGGATCCAGAGAAAAGTCCTGGCAGAGGCCATGCACCATGCATAGGAAGAGGCATAGTCGATTATAAAATAAAATCAATTCTTGTACATACATTATTTACTTAAAACTTTTATTATAGTGATATAATGCAGTACTTTAAATTCCATTTTCATTCCCTTTTCTGTCTCTCTTCTTTTTAATATTTTTTTTCCTTCTATTCTGGGGAGATCTAGCACCATGCCTATCCCCACCTGGATCATTCATGTATTGTACATCTCAAAACCACTCCGTGATGTGACTAACCTCCTCCGGAAATTGTCAGATGGGACACCCTGTTGGACAGCTTACAGTAGGCCCCACAGGGCAAATCCTTGCCCCAACATTGGACAACAGGTACCCACAATGTACTGTACTGTCAAGCATTGATAAAATACCACACAGGTAAACAACAAAGGTCTATCTTTAATTTGTGTACAAAAATTCTGTAATCATTTGTGTAAATATATTTTTTGTGATGTAACATGGATTGTAGGTCATTCACTTGCGCAGTTATGCAATTGACTTTGACCCTGTGACTTTTGACCTCATGTTATCAGGTGGAAATGATATCCCACGGTAATGAAAAGGAAATATGCCAACAATCATGTTGACAACAAAAAGAAAAATACAAAAGAGCAAAGCATAAAAATAATTATTTATTAAATTTAATAATGGAATCAAAAACATTGAATACTTACTTGTTCCATTAATAGTAGGGACTTGTGCTAAAAATTAATTAAAGTAATATATTAAATAAAATTAGGAATTGCTCTGAGACTATATACAAATGCAGCATATAGTACATAACTCCACTCTCCAACAATACTGTTTGACATAGTTTAATTACTATATTAACCTGTTGATATGCAACTCAGCATATTCTAAGTATCAAATACAGTATTGAATAAAATTTAATTGAAAAATTAAATTGAAATGTTTGTAAATTGCATATGTCTATCACTTGAATTTTACTGCAAAGATTTTGAAATTTCAAGATCAATGAAATAAGCTTTATGTTTTTATAGTGCCAGATCTAGGGTATGGCAAAGTGGATTAATAGGAAACCCCACACCCTTGTGACTCCCAAGTGGGGGATGTGTGTGGGAATGTGTATGTAAAATAATGATGTGAAAGGGGAGGGGGGAGGGTGTGTACACTACAGTATGTATAAGCTTTTATTGAGTTTAACCTATTTAATGTAATTAATAATTCAGTCTGCCGAAACTATATTGAGTCAGTGTTACGCAACCTGTCCTCCGGGGACCACAGTACTGTATGTATGGGCTTTTATCGAGTTTAACCTATTTAATATTAACACACAATTCAGTCTCAGAAACTATATTGAGTCAGTGTTACGCAACCTGCGGTCCGCGGACCACACTGAGGTCCGCCAAAATATATTGGTGGTCTGTCAAACACTAATGGTTTGTTAAAGTGGTCCGCCATCCAAAGGCTGAGTGGTCCGTCATCGTATGGCATATAAATTCACAAAAAACAACATAACTATTTTAATTTGATGCTTTCATGCAGAATATGGCACACGTATTATTGCAATTTTGGGTTTAGTCTATCGGCCTTGCTTTTTGTTCCAACTTTAACCTTACAAGTCTACAGTAGAAATAAGCAGCCTTGGTCAGTCTCATGCACGCTCCTTGGCGTTTCCGCCTGGGTAATGTTCACAACAACAAATGCAATAACGAACGTAAATTCAAATGCTAAGAAAACATCAGTGATACGAGTAGGCTCAGGGTAGCCATTAGAAATTTTAAAATGTCCAAATTACTCAAGCCTTTATGTTTTTTTTCCTTTAGGCTGTTGTCATTATTTGAAACTTTGCTTTGTAAATTTTCTGAGATACCTGTAATAATCAATTTCCCAATGATAAATCATTGATTTTTTTGCCCTTTAACCTTTAGCGGTTAGGTCTACTTCGTCAAAAGAATTCATTTACTATATTGTGCTCAGAAACCTTATGGCAGAATTTAGCAGAAGTTGTTTGTCATAATTATAAAGTAGCCTACTGGCACAATTGATGTTATATGTAAAAATCAAGAAATATTATTTGTCTGTGTCTGTATAGGTCTAATTAATGACTTTGAATATTAGTAAATTGTGCTTGTGCTTGGCGAGAGGTGTTTCTCGGGTGAGAAAGAATAGGCAATTAGTCGGTTTATCCAGGTAAGTATTCACGAAGTACTGTAGACTAGTAAATTTGGAGTGGTCCACAAATTTGTTCATATTGTAGACAGGGTCCATGGCCCAAAAAGGTTGCGCAACACTGTATTAAGTAACACCATATAATTACCTTTACATAAAGTATGCTGATATTTCATAAATTGAATTTAAAACAAATAAAGAAAAATAAACATTATTCAGAAAAATTCATATTCTAATATTTTGTTGCAAGTTTTAAAATCCTGAGAGATCCTCTTGTGATTGGTTGACACAAGAATTATTATTAAACATGATGTTACTTTATGCCTGGTTTACAGATGTCAACATACTGTACCTGTTGTGACAGCATCTGTTGTTGCATCTGTTGTTACATCTGTAAAGAAAAAGCAAAAAGTGGTTAGAGTAATACAGGATTTGAACCCAGGATTGTGGCATTGGAAGGAATTACAGCTTCACACATACATACATGTATTTATTGCAATCTGATGTATTTTAATGACTCTCTAATATTCAGATCGAAAAACAAACTTTCAAACAAGAAATACTCCTCAAAAGCAGCATTTTTAACAACACTATTTAACTAGCAATACTGTACAGAATTCCAAAAGATTTTCATCTTCTAATTTTTAAATTTAAAAATAATAAAAGGTTGACTATTTGACTGTTGGGATATGCCATACTTTATGTATGCCTCACCTCCACTTTCACTTTATTATAAATGATTATTCAGGATTTTTGCAAGCTTAAATCCCATTTAATATTTTAATTATTATCTCACTGTTTACCTACATATGTAAGTGAATTGGGGATATGCCATACTTGACGTATGCCTCACTTCCACTCCCGTAAATTCAAAATATTGAATATTTGCATGTTTTTACTATTTTTATCATCAATTGTCTCACAAAGTCAGTACTGATGGGTATCTGATCACTATGTGCAGCATAATTCATTTATGTTTCAGATAGTTCATTTAACTACAGTAGATCTCCGGGAAGGGATTTCTTCAAAATTAGGACTCCTGAAGTAAAGCTGAGTAAAATATTATTTGATTATTGACTCTTAAAACTGATTCAATTTCCTTTACACAGTAAAGTACATTCCTAATACATGTGTAATGACTATAAATCAGTCATCTTAAACATTTAAATTTGAACATAGACAGTGACATTGTAAGATCCAATGTTTCAACGTTGTTGTTTCCAATGTTTTGTTTTGTATGATTATCAAGAACAATGTTTTAACTATATGATGACATAATTAATGTCGAAAATGATGACATAATTAATGTTGAAATATTGAATCCCAACACGATGGCGTGTATTTCAATACTTGGAGTATGTATTATACTTTCTTATATGAGGCATGTTGTGGCAAAATGGCTAAAGTTGTAGCAAAAATTATGTTACTTTATGCCTGGTTTAAAATGTCAACATACCTGCTGTGACAACTGGAGCGTCTGTTACTTCAACTGTAAAGAAAAAGCAAAAAGTGATTAGAGTAATACAGGATTTGAACCCGTGATTGTGGCATTGGAAGGAATTACAGCTTCACACATGCATACTGTTATGCTTTCTTCGGGATCCAATGCAATGAACAAATCAAATGAGAATACATTAAACTTGTATTCTTGATACACAGCTCAGGTATTAATAACGGGGACCTAGGCTTACGACATGTCTCTGTGCGTAGATTCCCCCTCGTGTGTGTGTGTGTTAGCTCTCTATTCGCCTGATCTTTTGTATTACCTTTTCCCGCCCCTGCCTATCTGATACGCGCACAATTAGAATAGTACGCGCGTAAACAACATGGATGGACCTGGATATCTAGTGTTGTTTCAATAATATAAATACATGACAATACAGGTACAGTACATGTATTTATTGCAATCCGAGGTATTTTTCTGACTCCCTAATCGAAAAAATAATCTTTCAAACAAAAAATACCCCTCCAAAGCATTTTTTACAATTTTATATAACTAGCAATACTGTACAGAATTCCAAAAGATTTTCATCTTCTAATTTTTAAATTTAAAAATATAAAAAGGTTTAACTATTTGATTGTTGGAATACAGTATGCCATACTTGATGTATGCCTCACTTCCACTTTCACTTTATTAAAAATAATAAATATTATTCAGGATTTTCGCAAGCTCAAATTCCATTTAATATTTTATCATTAATATCTCACTGTTTTCTACATTACGTTTCCGTTCCTTGGCACGTATTGGCCAAGGACATTTATTTCAACTTTTATATAAGGCCTTTGGCCCAAATAAAATATAATAGCTATTTACAGAGGGAATGATCACTTCTACATTTATAAATGAGTGATAAAGAAATTTACATACCAACTTATTGTATTGATATCAGTAGTGGACATTAATTGAGTAAACTTAACTTTGGATGGATTAACAATAAAATACTTGAATATATAATGTTTTCGAATATCAGTGTAATAAGGGCAAATTAAAGTAAAATGGTATTCATCTTCAACTAGATTTAATATACAATGTTTGCATAATCTATCTTTTTTATCAATTTTTGACCATCTACCTGTTTCAATTTCTACTGTACTGTAATATGCAAGACAAGTTTTTAGTTGTTATGGAACTATACAGTAGTCTACTGTAGGAAATTTTAATACGTCATATAGCAAAATATACATGTTTTTTTTTGTTTTTTTTTATCAAAACCAAATTACCAAATTAAACATAATATTATAATTTAACATTTTAATTTTCTTTAAAAAAAAAAAGCATACAGTACTGTAATAATACAAGATATAGAATAGAATATAGAATACTGTACATGGCTTTTTGATACTAATGGTAAAAAAAACATCAAAAATAAATTATAAATCTGTAAAACACGATGGCGTTCATTTCAATACTTGGAGTATGTATTATACTTTCTTGTAGTATAGTATGTTCTGTAGACTTTATTAAAAAACTTTTTGCTGTAAAAGGGACCTGAAAATAATGAGGCACTAACAAAGTCTCCTGGATGTCGCTGGAGTCTCCCAGAAATTGAGGGCGTCTCCTGCACTCCCACAAGTAAGGACCTCCTGGAAAAGAATCCATCTCCCACAAATTCAAAATAATGAATATTTGCATGTTTTTACTACTTTTATCATCAATTGTCTCTCAAAGTCAGTACTGATGGGTACCACAATGTGCAGGCATACAGTAATTCATTTATGTTTCAGAAAGTTCATTTTCTTAGATCTCCCGCAGAGGGATTTCTTCAAAATTGGGACTCCTGAAGTAAAGCCGAGTAATTGTTATTTGAGACAACCAACCAGTGGTTTTTACCTTAATAAAAACCATATTATTTATTTACACATGGTGTACCGAAAAATTTGTTATATGTTTATTATTTGATTATTGACTATAAACTGATTCAATTTCCTTACAGTAAAGTATGTTCCCTTTACATGTGTAATGACTATAAATCAACCATCTTAAACATTTAACTTTGATTATACTGACAATGACATTTTAAGATCTATTTGCGTCGAACAGAAAACAGAAGATCCAAAAATTACTTTCAAATGTAAACAAATATTTAATACGACTTGAAACTCCTGCTGAAAACAAAGGAGCTAAAATTAGATTCGAAGAAAACAATTATTGAATGAGATGGAAACAATTTACTGTACAGCCCTTTATTTTTGAGCACCCTTTCTTCACGATTTTTTGCGATAAAAAGACAATCGCGAAAAACAAGGGCGCAAGAAAATGGTGAGATTCTGAATGATGCAAAAGCAAGTCCAGGCCATACCCATAGTAATATAAAAGAGTAGACTGGTACCAGTGCTGTCTATTTTTATAGCTGAGCCCATGCCTATGCCCACCTCATGAAAGTGGAATACAAATTGCAAGTTTACATTTGATATTTCTCATTAGTTAATAATTATTAACTATTACAATAATTTTCTAAAAAACATACCAATGCAGAGGCCTACATATTCGGCAAGATTTCTTAACATGTCGCTTTAAAAAAAAACCTTTGTCCAGCCTCTACACAGGCAAACTGAAATGCTGAAGTAGGCCTGAATTATAAGCTACAGTAGTCTACAAAATCGGGAGGGAAGCAGGAGATTGCTCAAAAAATCAAGCAAACCCACCAAAATTGGGAGCTATAGCTATACTAGGCTAAAAAAACGTATTGGTACTGTACTGTAGGTTTCTGAATCATGTTAAAAAAAAATGACTGGAAATGGTAAAATCGCGAAAATAAAAGGTCACAAAATCGAGAAAATATAGGGCTGCGAAAATAAAGGGATATACTGATCTCAGTTCCATCTATATGGCCTAGTGTTTTACTTCATTTGTTTCACACAGATACCAGATAATCCACAAAAATTATACTTACAGATACAAACAAAAATGTTTGTATTAGGAAGACGTGAAGATTATGTTAAAACAAGATAGTACATTTTATTTATATTCTGATAAATAGTTTATAAAATAAATACACTACAGTATATTCAAGAAAAAAAAATGCTATATTGTACGAGAATGAATTAATGAATAAACGGTACAATCAATCATCATTACTATGCCTACTGTATTAAACTAGAAATCTAGTCTTAAATTCTATAATCCATTGTATCTTTAAAATGCTACTACAAAATGCAAGCATCTCATTCTGCTTGAACATATTAGGTATGAGTTCAGACTACAGATTTTATTTTTATCTAATATTAATTCTTGTGTTAAAAATAGTATTTTAATGATATTCTGATACTTTTCAGATGATTTTGTATTGCATTGATAGCAGAGCTCGTATTAACAGTATTATCGATGAATTACTTACATACTGTAAAAGTGTACCAGTATGACCTTTAAGAAGAGATACCTTACAACAGCAGGATTTCACAATGTGTTTCACAATTTCCAGCTTGTTAGAGTGGATCATATGACATTCTTTATGACAATTAATTTAAAACCTGAATTTGATAAACAAAAATGCAATTTTGAACATACTGAAAGGAAAGATTTCCTGGCCTACTGCCTAGCACTGTGTACAATGATTCTGTACTGTATGCTCAGTAAATTTGCCAGATGACTATAATTCCCCACCAATCTTAAATTCAAGGTAAAAGAAGGATATGATGATAATAATAACAATAATAATAATAATAATATTAATAGTAATATTAATAATATAATAACAATAACAATAATAATAACAATAAAAAAAATAATTTAATATTACTGTAATAATAATAATAATAATAATAATTAATAATAATGTAGTCTTACAGTATATAGCGCATAATACAAGAAAGTTGCCTATGCACTTTACATAAACAAAAAAAACATACTGTAAATAATGAAATATCCCAATACTACAATGATTCAATAAATTATAAAGCCCTGACAAGACTATCAAATCTTTAAAAAAAATTTGACGCCTAAATATGGTCATGATGACGTCACATCATGACCATATACAGGCACATCATGACTATATATGGTCACGCAACAGTCTTTCGTCAAAGAAAATTTGATAATCTGGACACTGGAGCTAATCGTTTATTATGTGTACATAATAATTTGCAATTCAGCATCTGGCGAGAGTACAGTTTGTTTTATCTTGTAGATGTTTGTTTTTCCAACAATTAACTGTACACCAACTCCTACACACTGTACAGTACAGTAAAACCTCAAATTGAAGCCCTGGCTATTCTTTCTTTTTGAAATTGGCTTCTTTTCAAGATGGGCTTCTTTTCCAGGCTACTTTGCAAGGTAAAGAGAGGGAAAGTTTATGAATTTGTACTATAAAACAATATATAAACATCTATAACCAATCTGTATCATGGAGTGTATTTAACTGACATTAAATATCCTAAACTACTGTATAAACCAAGCTTGTTTAAAATTATTTTGTTTTTTGAAATTCATGTACAGTCTACCGTTATACTGTACTATCTCGAAAACAAGCATAATGTATGCTACCTTGAGTCTAATTTTGTAAAGAGGGGGCTTCAATTCGAGATGGGCTTCATCTCGAGATTAAGCCCACTGGATTTCAATTCATGGTTTTATTTCTATAGTATTGTTTTTTTTATAGGATTGTTTTCCTCAAACCGTTGATATAATTATTTCCTAAATTGGCATAGCTATTATAATTCCTCTTCTGCCTGGATAAACTGCCTCTTTCATCACCCCTGTACCTATATCTCTCAATGTAAAATATTATTGATTTGTACTGTAGTATTAAAATGTGTCATTGTTGCTTATTATCTCATAAAAACCTTTAAAAAATGAAATAGAATTGAATTGCATTTCAGAGTTCATAGGTCATTATAGAAATAATGTACATTAATGGAAACAATGAACATCATTCCATGTGAAATTTGATATTAATGAAAGCTGTTGGCAAATTATAATTTTTGATAAGGGGCTGTTCTTAAAATAAACTCCTTGGTACTAGTCGACTATATGCATTTTTACAATGCATA